TCAGTACTGTTGCTGCTCACCCAGTCCTCAAAGTGAAAAGCAGCAGATAAGCATGTAGCCAAGATCACCTTATTTCTGCTCTCTTGCAAAACATCCAAATAAATGCAAACCAATATTTTTTATTGTCTCATACTTAGCATGAAAAAATAGAAGAGTTCAGGAAGAAGACATCACAAAGACAGCTTGCCCCTTGAGAGTGCAAACACAATGAGCCAGAGAATGTCTACACATAGATCTCATGCTAAGAAGCCAGTCTTTCCTTAGGTGCTTTTTTTTTTTCTGAGTCAGAGTCTCACTCCATTGCCCAGGATATAGTGCAGTGGCACACTCGCAGCCACCCCAGCGTAGACCTGCTGGACTCCAACAATCCTTCCGCCTCAGTCTTTCAAGTCGCTGGAACTACAAGCATGACAGCGCTCGGCTAATTTTTTTTTTTTTTATTTATTGTAGAGACGAGGTCTCGCCAAGTTGCCTGGGCTGGTCTCAAACCCGCAGGCTCAGGCAAACCACTTGCCTCGGCCTCCCAAAGTACTGGGATTACAGGCTGAGCCACCGAGCCCGGCCCAGGTGTTGTTTTAAATGGAACAAAATGCATTAATGACTTTTAGAGTTTTAGCCTAACTCAGCCTGCATTATGAAACAACTTGTTCCTAAAAAATTTATGCCACGATGTCATTTTCTCACATAGAGGAGCTGGAGATGGGGCAGCCACACACCCACATTACAAGTAGCAGAATTTTCTCCTCTTGTAGCTAGAGAGCTTTGTAGAAGTAAAACAGTATCAAATGTAGGTAGAATCTTACCACAGTATCTCAAACAGTTCCAGTATTCCTAATTCCAAGACCACTAAAATATCCTCCCCACCCCTAGTGTATTTTTTTGCTCCCAACAGTCACTGCACGGTGGCTCATACCTGTAATCCCAGTACTTTCGGAGGCAGAGGCAGGAGGACTGCTTGAGCCCAGAGGTTTGAGACCAGCCTAAGCAACAAAGCGAGATCCCATCTCTGCAAAATGAAAAAAAAAATTATAAAATTAGCTGGGTTTGGAGTGTATGCCTGTAGTCCCAGCTATTCAGGAGGCTGAGGCAGAAGGATCACCTGAGCCCAGGAAGTCAAGGATGCTGTGCCACTGCACTCCAGTCTGGGGAACAGATTGAGACCCCAACTCAAAAAAAAAAAAGAAAAGTAGCTCATGGTTTATGAAATTTAGAATACTATAAGATCAAGATTACTATGAGAAAGGAATATTGGTGTTAGATTTGAAATGGAAGTATTAGAATGAACTCATTGATCTAAAAAAAAAAACGTTCCCTAAAAGGGGCTAGAAGCAATGACATTACAGTAGCACCCAGATTGTGATTTTTAAAAACACCACCCCCCCCATGGAAAGAAACCTTTTCAAAACGGCCAATCTCCTAACTAGAGCAGGGAAATAAATAAGCCTAGGACATCTTGTTATGGCAAAATGCAAGGAGATACTCAAGGACTGATGTGCACAATGACCCATGAACAAGTTTAAGGTGTTCCCATTGGCCAAATTTGGAACAATTACACTAATTTTTTTTTTTTTTTTTTTGAGTTGGAGTCTCACTGTCACCCAAGCAGGAGTGCAGCGGCACACTCGTGGCCACTGTGGCCTCAAACTGCTGGGCTCAAGTGATCTTTCTAACTCACCCTCCCAAGTAGCTGGAGCTACAGGCACACGCCACCATGTCCAGCTAATTTTTAAAATTTATTTATTGTAGACAGGCTTGTCTCGAACCCATGGGCTCAGGCAACACTCTCACCTCAGCCTCCCAAAGTGCTGGGATTATAGGCATGAGCCACCATGCCCAGCTGACTAATAAAATTTTTAAAAAATAATCCATGAGCCCACAGTGATACTCAAAAGTGGGTAAAGAATGAACGTGCCTCTTTATAGAAGAATGCCTGCTAATAAATGTAGATGGAATGTTACACTTAGTCAACTTGCAGCCACCAATGGAATAAAAGAACAGATGTACGTAAGGATTATCAATGAATGCAAAAACCATCAAAGGAACAGAATATTAAAATGGTCCAAAGATATCCAAGTATCTCCTCCCAGATTACTTGTTTAAGAAAAAAAAGATATTTTACAACAAAAAGACCTGACAGACACCAAGTGACCAATCTTAGCATCAGTAATAAGGTGACAGTAATACTTTCTGCTTCCTTAATAAATGGGACATACAACATGCCATCTATGTAGTCTTGGGGCAAAATGTTTTTCCTGAACTTGTCCTCATAAGAAACAATCAGACAAACAGACTTTTACAAGCTAACTGGCCTGACTGTTCAAGTATCCATTTCATAAAACATCAGAAAAGGCAGGATTGTTCCAGAGTAAAGACTAGAAATACATGACAATCAAATGCCATGGCTCTGGTTCCTGATTTTAAAAAAAAAAAAAGAAAGAAAATCTTTAAAGGACATTTTGGGGAAAACTGGGAAAGTCTGAATATGTATTATCCTTTAGACAATTCTGTATCAATATTAAATTTATAACTATATTATGATCATATAAAAGAATTTCCTTAAGATTTCAGACATCTGAGGGGGGACCAGAAAAAATCCAGAATTTATTTATAAAAAACTGTGTATTTATTCTTATATATTTAAACTTCAGTCACCTTCAAGGTACTCTCTGTTTGATGCAATACACCTGTCAAGACATTCTTTCCACTGCTCAAAATAATTTCTGAACTTGTTAATTTTGATGCCTTTAGTACTTCTGCCATTTTTTGTTTTTGTTTTTTTTGCACCTCTTCCACATCGGCAATACATTTCTCTTTAAGGACTTCTTTTCATCCAGGGAGACAAAAAAATTTCACTTGGGGCAGGATCAAGTGAATAGAGAGGGCAGGGCATGGGGTCATGCTGCTTTTGATCAAAAACTGCTGGACACTCAGTGTAGTAGGAGCAGGTGCATTCTTAAATTACCCATGATGAAATAAACACTGAAAGAACCTCCAAAACAAATTCGCTAAAGTCAAACGCAGCCTCTCACAACAATACTACCTGGTATATGGATGCCAATGAGTTCCTAGAACACTTACCTACGAGGGGAAGCCTGTACTACATGGGGCCTGCTCTCTAAAAAACAATTCTGGTTTTTTGGGTGGGTCCTCTTCGTACATGCTTAAGTAGTAATGGGTGAGGTGTGTTCCTTCTTTCAAAAGAAAAACACTTACATACAGATAAACTAAAGGTGGCAAAATAACAGTTAAGTGTAGGTAAAAGATACATAATTATTTCACTGTACTATACATTCAACTTTTCTGTAAGTTTGAAATTTTTCAATATAAGAAGTTGAAAGCAAAAAAATAAAATTTAACTTAAAAAGAAGTCAATAGCTCAGTCAAGTGCAGTGGCTCATGCCAGTAATCCCAACACTTTGGGAGGTGGAGGTGAGAGGAATACTTGAGTCCAAGAATTCAAGACCAGCCTGGGCAACATGGTGAAACCTCATCTCTACAATAAATAAAAAAATTATCCAGGCATGGTGGTGCATGCTTCTATTTCCAGCTACTTGGAAGGCTGAAGTGGAAGGATCACCTGAGCCCAGGGGGCCAAGTCTGCGGTGGCCATGAGCATGCCCTGTACTGCACCATAACTTAAAAAAAAGAAGGCAATAGCTTACAGATCTTGTGAGGTAAATTTGGAGGCTTCAGCGAAGTAGAGCATCCTACTCTCCATTTTAACTAAACTCGAAAAACCAGAAGTGGTTGGAAGATAAATAGAGGCATTGAGCTAAGACAGCAAACAAATTCCTAATCTTCCTCTTGCCTATTGATTTAGACAGGTGAGTACCAAGTATAGAGGTGTTGGTGAATGAGTCCTAATCCCATTAATCCATTAATAAAATCCATTAATTTTAGCAACAGAATACATAGTATGAATATGGCATGGCTTCCCTTCTTCCAAATTATAATTTCAAAGGGGTTGGTGGATTGGCAGGAAAAAAGAATATTTAAAAGTTAAAGTTAAGCCGGGCTCGGTGGCTCAGCCTGTAATCCCGCACCTTTGGGAGGCTGAGGTGAGTGGTTTGCTTGAGCCCGCGGGTTCGAGACCCGCCTGGGCAGCGAGACCTCATCTTTACAATAAATCAAAAAATCAGCCAGGCATGGTAGCGCATGCCTGTAATTCCGGCTACTTGGAAGGCTGAGGCAGAAGGATCGCCGGAGCCCAGCAGATTGAGGCTGCGGTGGCCAGGAGCGGACACTGCACTCCAGTCTGGGTGACAGAGTGAGACTCCAACTCAAAAAAAAAAAAAAAAAAAAAGTTAAAGTTATAACAAAAGTTAATGCCTTGACATTTTTTAAAAAAAAAATAAGAGACAAGAGACTATGGCCCAGGCTGCAGTGCAATGTGATCATGGCTCACTGCAGCCTTGACCTCCTTGGCTTAAGTGATCCTCCTATCAGTCTCCCAAGTAGCTGAAACTACAGGCACAAGCCACCATGCCTGGCTGATAATCTGAATTACTGTGTAAAAAGTTGCCAAAATGATGAAGATAGGTGTTTCATCACCTAAATCAATTAAATATTTGTAATTAGATATATGCAATTAGACTAGAGCCCGTAATTTTTTAAATCTCCCAAACCTAGAGAAACATTATTACCAGCGTGGTGTTTTACCAAAAAAAAGATCCCACCAAGATGTTTTTCTTATTTCCAGTGACAGACACTAAATAAGCCCACATTGTTAATTCCACTATCAGTACATAAAATATTCCCCTAAATATGTAGCATTCTCTGTCTTTAAAGCTCTCAAAAACAAGGTTGCTTCTCAAATGCTTTGGCAGACTCTGCTGAATTAAGCACAGAACTCTCATTATTGTTGTATAGTTATTGAATTGGAAAAAGTATTTTTACTCAAATGGTCATGAGTTTATTTGAGATTATGAAATCGGCCTCCCCATTCCCACCATTTCCCTCTGAAAGCCCAAAGAAATGCAGCAAAATTAATGACAACATGGTGAGATAATCATCCAAACATTTTAATCTCCCTTTACACATTATATTAACATTCATATTGCAAGGCATTCCATCCACAAATATGACTGTGTGATAAAAACTTCACACACATACCCCCAAAATTCTATAGCAGATTCAGTCAACTTTACTAAATTGTTAAAATAATAAAAGTAATGAAAACATTATTATAATTATTTTAAAGCAATAAGGTCTGAGGCACTCTGGGAAAGATGTTCTCTTACAAATATAATGTGTAGTGGTATCAAATTATATTACAAGAAAGTCATCAGATATCCAATAATGAAGTACACTCTAATGAAAATGACTTTATGATCTGATATGTCTTCACTGGAGACACTCCTATTTGGGCAACCGCTGAAAGGAACACAGATATTGGGCAGCTGAGGCCATTTCTAATGGGGTTCCCAACTATATAAAGATGAGAAGTGTCTCAGCACATCCCTAGGATAGCTGCATCCCTACCGCAAGGTTATAAGACTCAAAGTTTCTTGCTGATAACCGTCAAGGTTACTAAATGACAGTGTCTACCAGCCCACTTGACCTACTATGCTCACAGCTGGAGACTTCAGAACTCTTTCCCCATGCTCCTCCACAGTGCAACCTCCAGCATCCTCAGCATCTCCAAGGAATGCCCTTGAAATAGAGAAGGGGAAAAGGGGGACTTTTCCACTACCGTTTCTGACCAAACAGCAGTCTGAAATAGCAGTGTATTATATGAAATTCCCATGCTTTGCATTAGCCAGCCACTGCTTGGAGCATGGCTATTTTTGCCATAAATTAAACTTTTAAAAGCCTGATAACCTTCTTCCAAAGTGACTTTTACCACATTTATTCACTGACACACACACACAGTCCACACAGGAGAAAGTGTGAGTGCTTCCTTCTGCCTAGTTATAAGGGTAAATAATTACACAGGAAGCAGGGGGTAGGAGCAATTCCCAATGAGGAATTAAATTACTACAAACTATGGGTCCATTTATGATGGCATATTACCCAGTCAGAGTAGAACCAACACAAACCCCAGGTCACATAGTGTTTGGTAATTACCCATATGGAACTTAAAATGTACACATATATTTTTCCATATATATAATTTTTTTAAATCTAGTACAACAATATTGCTAAAGTTTCAAGGATTCTCATCTCTGATGTTCACCTGGAAAGCAGCTGGCTCTTGATGGCTGGTTTATGACAGTGATAAAAACAGCGAGAAATAGGTTTAAGTAAAAGTGCTCAAAGGGCAAATGAGAAAACAGGTGTGAAGAGAGATGGGGGCACACTGGAAAGAGCAATGTTTCCTTTATTCTTCTCAGTTTTTTCAGAACCCAGACAAGTTCCTGAGGACACACATCAAATGCTGTAGTCCTTTCTTAACTATAATCAAAACAAAACAAGTGATTTAAAAAAAGGATCCTCTTCCTTTCTGTACTCTCAGCAAAACTCAAAGTACAGTAAGAAGGCATCACTGAGATGTGCCGACATGGGAGAAATTAAACTTGGGACATGAAGTGAGGTCGTGCACTGTCGAGTCGCCGGGTGAGAATATCACAGCCAGTGTCCGTGACCAGCAGGGTGTGCTCGAACTGAGCAGAGCGCTTTCCATCTCTTGTCACTGCAGTCCAACCATCTGGCCAAGTTTCGTCCTGCCACCCACCTTAAACAGACAAAAAAAAACAACGGCTTCATTTGCCCACTCAGTTTTCTAAACAAACTCTCTAGTGAAAGTGCCATCAAGAAGAAAAGCAAGCAGAAAGTTCACTGCTGAGATTCTCATGCATTACACTTCCATCATGTCAGTTAAAGCCTTTCCAACTTCACTTTGGTATTTAGTACCAATGAAGTAATGATGATGCCGAAATTTCTTCAGTGTGTTCAATTTCACATTTTTTCTTTTGTTTCCCAAAAGTCAAGTCAAGATGCAGTTTCCAAAATAAAGGTGTGGGATTTCATTTTAGAAAACACATGGGTATCTACTCATCACAGAACTATGAGTAAAAACTGGAATTATATGTACCAAAACATCACTGTACTCTATAAATATGTATAATTATTATTTGTCCACTTAAAAAAATAAAATTAGGGGCAACTCCTTCAGGTTCCCTCCCACTGTGGGAGCTTCTCTGTCCTCTCAATAAATCCTGCTTTCTCAAAAAATAAAAATAAAAAAATAAAATTGGCTGGGTGCAGTGAGACACACCTTTAAAATCCCAGCACCTTGGGAAGCATAAGTGGTAGGATTGCTAGAACCCAGAAGTTGGAGACCAGCCTGGACAAGAGCAAGACTTTGTCTCTACAGAAAATCGAAAATGAGCTAACATGATGCCACGCACCTGTAGTGCCAGTTATTCAAGAGGCTGAGGCAGAAGGATCACCTGAGCCCAGTGTTTGAGGCTGCAGTGAGCCCTGATTGCGCCACTGTACTACAGCCTAGGTGACAGAGTGAAACGCACCCCCAACTCAAAAATCAGTAGATAATTTTTTAAAAAAAGGGAAGGAACTTCTGCAATATGCTACAACATGAAGTTTGAAGACATTAAGATAAGTGAAATAATCTAGTCATAAAAACACATATACTTCATTAGCCCACTTTACATGAGACATTTACAATACAGTAGTCAAAATCACAGAGACAGATGGGCCGGGCACGGTGGCTCAAGCCTGTAATCCCAGCACTTTGGGAGGCCAAGGCGAGAGGATTACCTGAGTCCAGGGTTCACAGACCAGCCCTGGGCAACTTGGGGAGACCTCGTCTCTGCAATAAATCAAAAAGCCAGGCATGGTGGTGTACACCTGTAGCTCTAGCTACTGAGTTCAGCAGGTGGAGGCTGCAGTGGCTGGGAGCATGCCAGTGCACTCCAGCCTGGGCAATGGAGTGAGACTCCAACTCAAGAAAAAAAAATCACAGAAACAGAAAATAGAATGGAGGGTGCCAGGGGCAGGGAGGAGCAAGAAATAGGGAGTTAATGTTTAAGAGGTACAGAGTTTCAGTTTTTCAAGAATGAAAACAATTTTGGAGATTGGTGATGGTTAACAGCTGTACAACATTATGAATGTATTTAATACCAATGAACTATAAATTTAAAAATGATCGAGACTGCAAATCTTATATATATTTTATAATTTAAAAAGTAGACAAAAAACTTGAATTAATGAATTTAACTCTTTCCTGGTATAACTTTGACATCTGACTAAACTGTAGTCAGTGTATACTGTGAAGGAAATCATGTAAGTTTTTATACTTTTACTACAGCATTTAATTTCTGACATAATTTCAAAATGGCAGGCACAAACAGATGGTGAGAACAGATTACAGTGTGAAAAACTTTTGTAAACCAGTCTCTTGGAACTAGGAAAAGGGGCAAAGAGGTTGGTGGGAGAGAACAAGAAAAATATGATGAAGCAGAACAGTTTAGAGAAGAGTTGAAACTAGAGAGGGAAGTGAGGGACAGGGAAAGAATCTAGGAGACCACGAAAGAAAGCTCAGGAGAGGAGGGGAGGGGCACAATGAAGGGGAGGCAGAAGAGAAGCCTTAGAGGGTCGGAAGCAGAGGTGAAATGAGAAGGCTGTGCAATTCTGTACACTACTATAAAACAGGTGCTCATAGGCCTTTTTTTTTTTTTTTTTGAGTTGGAGTCTCAGTCTCCTAGACTGGAGTGCAGTGGCATGCTCACAGCTACCACAGTCTTGGCCTGCTAGGCTCAGGTGATCCCTCCATCTCAGCCTTCCAAGTAGTGGAAACTACAAGCACGCGCCACCACGCCCACCTAATTTTTTGATTTATTGTAGAGATTAGTTCTCGCCAAGTTGCCCGGGCTGGTCTCAAACCCATAGACTCAGGCAATCCTCTGGTTTCCGTTTCCCAAAGTGCTGAGATTATAGGCGTGAGCCACCAAACCTGGCTATAGAGCTTTCTTGCTTCAAAATTAGATGTAAAAAAATCAATCCATTCTTTATTTTGGGTAATCTTTAGGTGAAACATGTTACTCCCAGGTCTCACTGACTCTCACACAGACAAAATCCCAGGACATTCATACTGTAGTAAAGTAACCTACTTTTGCAATATTAACTCCTAGGCTAAAAAGAAAATATGAGGCAGCTTAAAGAAGTTAACTCATGCCTTGTCAAGCACCTAAAGTTGAGAAAATAGATGCTTTTCAATGTAATGGCCTTCACACAAATGGATTTAAAACATAATACTTTGATTTTACTGTAATCAGATAAAAACAGGATTTTTAGTAATGTTGAGTCAAACATATTTGGCTATTCTTCTGGGGAAATTTCCCTTCAGGTTTGAGACCTTCCACTCCAGAGCCAGGAGTTACACTGAAGCATAACTACTGTAATTTGATGACTACCTGTACCAGTTCCATAGAAAGTTATTTGCTTACTCCCGAAAATACTTATACAGTATGTCTCGCCAACCAGGTGCAGTTAACGAAAACATGTAACCAAAAAGACACTTTCCTTCTTGTCTTTCCTTTACTACCAAAACACTCACCGGTAACTGCCCTGAAAACTAGTTGCGCATGATCAGAACTTGATCCTTATTACACAAGAATGACAAAAACATTGACATACACATGTGCAGTCCTTTAAGGTATACAAAGTACTTTATGTTAACATAAATCATCTCACTTCATTGTTACAGCAGCCCTCCATGAGTGTTGGCAAGATAAGGATTATAATTTTCATTTTATAGAAAAGGCAACAAAGAATCAGGTTACAAACAAAGCCCCTGCAGTAACATCCAATGATCCCCACCTCCTGGTATACACAAACTTGTGTGAGCCCCTGCTCCCTTTGAGTGTGGGCTGGATTTAGAGAATCACTTTTTTTTGTTTGTTTTTTGTTTTTAAATAAGATAGTCTTATTCTGTCACTCATGCTGGAGTGCAGTGGTGCAATCACAGCTCACAGCAGCCTCAAACTCCCAGGTTCAAGCCATCTTTCCCCCTACATCTCTCAAGTAGCTGGGACTACAGATGTACACCATCACACCTGGCTAATTTTTAATTTATTATTATTATTATTATTATTGATAGAGAAAGGGTCTTGTTATATTGTCCAGACTGGTCTCAAGCTTCTGTCCTCAAGTAATCCTCCTGCCTCAGCCTTCCAAAGCACTGCGATTACAGGGGTGAACCACCGTACCCAGGTTAGTGAGTGACTTCTAAGAATGAGAATATAAAAGTCACTCCCAAAATTGGGTTACAAAAAGACTGGAAGGATTCAGAGAGGCAGTATCCTTTAATGCAGGGGCACAGGACCCACAGGCCCACTACTGCCTCACTTTGCATCTCCTAAGGAGAAAGCTCCACTATTACAAGCATTCCAATAAGCTCAGTGAGGAGCCCTAATCATGACTCAGAGTCTACTATCTGTAGACAGGGAATAACAACAATGGGGATACAAAGGCTGTCAGAACTAAGTGTGTTTATGCCCAGCTTTTCCCACAATAGTTATGACACCATGTGACAACATGAGTGCAGGCCATGAAGAGCCAGAGAGAACAGCTCATGGGTTGAGAGTCTGACAAATCCCATGCTGTAACCACCTGAGGGACTTGAGCAAGTTATTTACCCTATCCAAGGGTCAGCCGGGTTCTCTATATAATGGGGATAATACCCACCTCATAAATGGCAAAGAACTAAATCATACAACCATGTCTGCCTCTAAGCGGGTGGCTCAACAAATGCTCTACTTCTTATTTCCTCTTCTTCTGCCTCCTACATCAAGCAAGACCATCCACACAGGATTGACATGGGCTCTAGTTATGACAATAAACCCATTGCTCTGACTGGACTTTTATGAAAAGGGATCAGCATTCAAGTACTTCGGTATCTACTGACAGATGACTTTTTTGCCAACCCTTACAGTTTCAGTTTTCTACATAATACTGAATCAAGCTCAAGATGGGATAGTGAGTAGAAGGAAGCAAAAAGCAAGCAAGCAGAATGGACAACTTATCTGATGAGATACCTGCAACAAATACAAATGCAATTAAACAATATTACAACACCCTTTTTCTTCTCACCTTCACAAATCATTGGCTCAATTGTAAATACATGACCCGACTTCATCACTCCAACTGCTTTATTTTCTGAAATTGAAGAAAATAAAATATCAAAAGATAGCAAAAAACAGTGCACTGTTGAATAATTAACTAAAAAGAGTATACAACTTATATTCCCATCAGAGATTCCTTTTTTTTTTTTGAGTCAGAGTCTCACTCTATTGTCCAGACTGGAGTGCAGTGGTTCACTGCTCATGGCCACCACAGCAATTCTTTCACCTCAGCCTTCCAAGTAGCTGAAACCACAGGCATGTGCCACCATGCCTGACTCATTTTTTGCTTTATTGTAGAGACAAGGTCTTGCCATGTTGCTCAGGCTGGTCTCGAAATCCTGAGCTCAGGTAACCCTCTCGCCTCCACCTCCCAAAGTGCTGGGATTACAGGCTTGAGCCACTGCACCTGGTGCCATCAGATATTCTTAATGAATTACTTTCTCCTCCCTAATTCCCTTTTGTAAAGTGTATCCTTCAACAGACAGGTATTATGCTGGTAACAACCTACTGTGGGGTGCAGATTGTTCTAGGCACATGTCATTCTGCTTAGGTTTTCCTCTAGGAAAACACAAAGACAGTTGTGACTGGACTTCAGATATAATTATTACTTCGACAAGAGGAAAAGGGCCACCATTTATGTCACTGCATGATTAGAACTGCAACCGCAGAAACCAAGCAAGTCCCATCACTCACCCAGCAAGAACAACAGATGTTTTCAACTGTGCCAGAGCTCTCCCACCTCTCTGGGGCTATGGGGAGTTCTGTGTGTGCAACCACGGCCCATAGAAACAACTATATCATTTTCATATAAGTTTTCTTCTTTTTCTCATCTTTAAAGAAGAATAAAGCCTCTGAATCCTACCTTTCTTAAATGCTAAGGAGACTATTCCTTTTAATTTAAAAACAAATTTCATTTCTCCCTCCAAATACTTTTTTAGCTTTTTTGTCCAAACCTTCTAATACAAGAGTATTTTTTCAGGACCACTGAGAGAAATGCAATTATAAATGAAAGTATCCAGACCTGCCATCCTCCAAAAAAGGTCAAAAATGCTAAAAATAGGGATAGGCCTTTTTAGATAATCTCAGATAAAAATGGAGAACTACTTTAAATTTCAAATTAAAAAATAAAGAGATCAGGTAAATGAAATACTGCACTGCTCCACCTGCATTGCTCGTCCTGACCACCAGATGGCAAATGTGTTAAACGTCCCAGTTCCTTTGCAAGGCTATCACGGTCTCAATTTTGGTTACTAATGGCCACTGAACATGTCCACTGAAGCCAACTTTACTATAAACTCCACTCTTCCCAGGGATGGTCTAATCTCACCTATACATTTATATTCCTGCTCATCTTTCCTAGTGAAGAGATATCATGCTGCTTTCTACTATCTTAAGTACCGTCAAATGACATTTACTGCAGATTCCAAATCTGGAGTTACTAAACATAAAATCTTAGGGTCAACTTTTTTAAAAAACAGACATTTCTGAACTCACAAAACGATATGCTTACTACATAAATAGATTGGTCTACCGTCCCTCAGAGAAATCAAAAAGAGCAGCAAGAGTGTCAATGTGGAGTCACAGAAAGAAACAAGGATAAAGGAACCTAGAACTGTGCCATTCAAATGCAGCAGCACTGGCCACCAGTAGCTATTAAGTACTTGAAAGTGACCAGTTAGAACTGAGATGGGATCAGTGTTAAAAAAAAAAAAAAAAATTCTGGATTTTGAAGACTAAAACAACCTGAAATATATAACTCAATAACTTTTAACCCTGGTTAAATTTTGAAACACTAATATTTTAGATGTAATGGGTTAAATAAAATATGCCATTAAAATAAGTTTCAGCCAGGTGCAGTGGATCGCGCCTGTAATCCTAGCACTTTGGGAGGCTGAGTCAAGAGAATTACTTGAGCCTAGGAGTTCAAGACCAGCTTGGGCAACATAGTAAGACCTAGCTCTACAAAAAATAAAAAATTAGCGGGGAGTGGTGGTGCATACCTATAGTTCCAGCAACTTGGGACGCTGAGGTGGGAGGATTTGCCCAGGAGCTCAAGGCTGTGGTGAGCCATGATCATGCCACCGCACTCCAGCCTGATCAGCAGAGTGAGACCACACTCAAAAATAAAAATGTCTCATCCATTTCTTTTTAACCTTTTTAATGTAGCTACAAGAAAATCTTAAATTACACATGTGCTTCATAATATATTTCAATTGGACAGCACTGATCCAGGGAAGTTAAAGTCTACTATTGCTTCTGCCACTGACTCATCATTATTCCAGAAAAATGACAACTCCTACTCAATTAGACACTTCATTTCAGTTTCCCAACATATCTCACTCAGCAAATATACATTATCCAAAGATTATACTATTGCAGCCACTATGCTAGGTAAATCCATACCTGCTTTGTTGACACTCACAGAATTACTGTGATATTCAGGCACACCTCATTTATTGCACTTCATTTTACTGTGCTTCACAGATAACATGTCTTTTTTATTTTACAAACTGAGCTTTGTGACAACCCTGTATCAAGCAAGTCTACAGCACCACTTTTCCAACAGTGATCATTTCATGGGTATTCTGTGTCACAATTTGGAAATTCTCACAGTATTTCAAATTTTTTCATTATTATTATATGTGTTATGGTGATTTGTGATCAGTGAGTTTTGATGTTACTATTCTAACTGCTGTGGGGGTGCCACAAGCCACACCCATAAGATGGCAAACGTAATTGATAAAAGTGTGTCTTCTGACTGTTCCACCTACTGGCCACTCTCCTGTCTCTCTCCCTCTCCTTGGATCACTCTATTCCCTGAAACACAACAATACTGAAATTAACCCAATTAATAGCCCTCAAATGGCCTCTATGTGTAAAAGTGAAAGGAAGAGTATATAAGTCTCTTACTTTAAATCAAAAGCTAGAAAATATGATTAAGCTTACTGAGGAAGGTATGGTGAAAGTGAACAAAGGTCAAATGCTAGGCCCCTTGCACCAAACAGCCAAGTTGTGAATGCAAAGGAACGTTTCTTAAAGGAGCTTAAAAGTGCTGCTCCAGCAAACATACGAATAATAAGAAAGTGAAACAGCCTTACTGCTGATACAGAGAAAGTTTTAGCGGTCTGGATAGAAGATCAGCTCAGTCATAACATTCCCTTAAGCCAAAGCCTAATCCAGAGCAAGACCTTAACTCTCTTCAATCCTCTGAAGGCTGAGGAAGGTGAGGAAGCTGCAGAGGAAAAGCTAGAAGCTAGCAGAGGTTGGTTCACAAAGTTTAAGGAAAGAAATCATCATCTCTATAACAAAAAGTACAAGGTGAAGCAATAAGTGCTGATGGAGAAACGCCAATAAATTATTTAGAAGCTCTAGCCAAGTTCAGTGATGATAGTAGCTATACTAAACAACAGATTGTTAATGTAGATTTTTTTTAAAAAACTGCCTTCTCTCAGAAGAAGATGCTACCTAGGATTTTCATAGCTAGAAAGGAGTCCATGCATGGCTTCAAACTTTCAAAAGACAGGCTGAGTCTCTTGTTAGAGGCTAATTAATGCAAGCTGGTGACTTTAAGTAAAAACCAATGTTCATTTACTATTCCGAAAATCCCAGGGACCTTAAGAATGATGCTAAATCTATCTGCCTGAGCTCTAGAAATGGAACAATGTTTGATGAAGTTTACTGAACATTTTAAGCCCATTGTTGAGAACTACTACTCAGAAAAAAGATTCCTTTCAAAGTAGTATAGCTCACTGACAATGTTCTTGGTCATCCAAGAGTTCTGATGAGACATACAAGAAGATTAATTTTGTTTTCATGCTAACACAACATTCCAGTCTGCAGCCCATGAATCAAAATGGGATTTTGACTTTCAAGTTATCTTTTTTAAGAAATACATTTCCTAAGGCTGCTATACATAGTAATTTCTCTAATGGATCTGGACAAAGTCAACTAAAAACCTTCTGGAAAGAATTTGCCATTCTAGATGCCTTTTAAGCACATGCATGGGCTGGGCACAGTGGCTCACGTCTATTATCCCAGGACTTTGAGAGGCCGAGGTGAGAGGACTGCCGGAGCACGTGGATTTGAGACCAGTGTGGGCAACTTGGCAAGACCTCATTTCTACAATAAATCAAAAAAGTTAGCCAGGTGTGATGGCGTATGCCTGTAATTCCAGCTGCTTGGAGGGCTGAGGCAGAAGGATTGCCTGAGCCCAGTGGGTCGAGGCTGTGGTGGCTGTGAGCATGCCACTGCACTCCAGCCTGGGTGACAGAGTAAGACTCCAACTCAAAAATAAAAATAAAAATAAGAACATTCATGATTCATGGGAGAAATCAAAATAGTGATAGTTAGACCTATGGCAGACTACTAACTGGTTGCCAAAATTAGTTTATTTTTCTTCAGAGAACTCAGCTTTAGTACATTTCCCAACCCCGCTCCTTATAGTTAGATGCAGCCATGTGACAGAATTCTACTAATGGAAAATAAATATAAGTGATTTATGTCATTTCCAGGCTGACTCATTAAAACCTCCCAAGCATACTCCCCAAGCTCCTTCCATTTCCTCCCTCCCTATCTGTTGAATAGCAGGGCAATTCCCAAAGTGACTGTGAAAGCCACAGATTGAAGATAATATAGTCTGCATCAGAGAATAACTGCCCTGCCCCCACGCAGTGATCAAACATACCTGTCTTGGAGCAAGACACGTGAGCAAGACATGAACTTGAACTGTGTTTGAGCAAATAGACATTTTAGGAATCTGTTAAAGCTAAGAGGTTACTCTAGTGAATATAAAAGAGCAGGTCCTGCTAGATGTATGAATAATTATTTGTTGAATAAATGACTAGCACCTACCAAATCTTCGGACAGTACTTACTGGCATAGTGGGGTACATTGGGGGCTGTATGGAAAAGCTTATGGATTCCATGCCCACAATAGCTTCGAACAACTGAAAACCCATTTGCTTGGGCATGCTTCTGAATAATATTTCCCAATTCTCTGTATCGAACACCAGGTTTCACTGAAAGGAAAAGAGAAGATTTAAGACAGAGAGTAACAATAACTAACATTTACTATCAATTGCACTCTATGCAATTATTATCTATGTGCCAAGTACCTTTCTATATGCGTTATAAGCCTCCACACCTAAAATTACAGATAAGAAAACTGAGACACAGAGAGGCCATATAGTCAACAAAATGGCAAAGCTCTGATTCAAACTAAGGGCACACGTAGTTCCTCCTTTGATGCCAAGAGAGAAGGACCCATGGCAGTATTAAAGGGTTGGGGACAGGCATCTTGTGCTTTCCTCTAACTATAAACAATAAACAACAGAATGTACACTTCCCTTCGCAGCTTTCCCAAAGGTCAATTATTCCATCCCATTCTAGTCTAGTCTAGTCTAGTCAAGTAAGCAGACAAAACAAGAAAGTATACCGGCACAAAAAGGAATGTCCAAAAGTTACTTGACTTGTCACAAGTTTCAGTATGGTCAATTTCTGAAAGAATTACTTCCCCTAGGCTTCTTTATCCCCATAAAAATGTCCTTAAACTATTCACAGTTGCCTCTGCAGAAGATCCATTTCTGGTTATTGCACAGGGAGTGGTGATGTAAACGGCATCCAGTGAGTAGAGACCAGGAATGCTGCTAGGCATCTCATAATACACAGGACAGGCCCCTACAACAAAGAATTATCAAGCCCAAAATGCCATTAAATGCACAGATTGAGAAACTCTACTCTAGAAGATTAATCTCAATAACTTTTGTAACGCTCTTAATGTTCTACAGAACAAGGTAGCCAGCAAAATTAGTAGAAAATAATGGGTAGGGGACTTGGGGGAAGATGGCAGTCAAACCAATAGGACTATACAAGTCCCTGTGTGAGTGAGTGAGTGTATGGAAAATTTTGTGTATGTGCTGGTGAGCGAGTGGGTGTGAGTGGGTGTGTGAGTAGCTGACTGAGGGCTGGGGAGCTAGCGGCCAGGGCTCTCCTGGTGCAGTGGCTGTGCCACAGCGTCTGAGCTTGGACCCTATTGATTCCCGAGATACAGAAGCTGAGTGCCATTCTGTTTCTTTTCTTTTTTCTTTTTTTAAATTTAAATCAAAAAACCCTCCCTGGCAAGAAAACGCTGGGAAAGACTGTCTAAGTGGGACTCATGAGCGGATGACCAGGCCTCTGGTGCAACAGCAGGTGCTGTAGCCTCTCTACTTCGTCCCTGGCTCTTCCAGGGTTGCAGAAGCAGAGCACCATTGTTTTTTGAAAAGCGGACAGAAGTTTTCTTTTGGAAAAGGGGCAGGGAGACACTATTGCCCCAGGCACTGCCTCACCATTGAAGAGGACAAAGACTGCTCCTGGCTTTGCCTCATCACTTCAGCACCTGGCAGGGTGCTGGAAGGGGCTGTGGACGGAGTCCAGAGGCAAATTCCCATGGAAGAGAACAAGAGACACACCCCACCACCATACTGAAGGCAGGGCAGGAAAGTGCCCTGACTTGCTCACCACAGACCAACAGATCTGATCTCTGTGACCAGAATATCAACTACTCAGGGCTTGATCGTGCCCCAAAGGGAATCTCCTGAGAGTACAAACGTCAGAGGGACCTGACTAGTGCTGAGTTCCAGGTACCCCACCCTCTACCCTAATCCAGCCATGGGATAAAGGGTGTGGCCAGAAAAAGAGGAGGAAGAACTCGAAAGAGATCAGTGGTGAGTCCAGGGCTGACCCAAACCCCCTCCTCCCCAGCAATCTTCTGAATATCAGACCCATACAACTGGACCACGACTGAGAGAGAAATCCAGGCAGAGCCTGGACATCAGTTGCAATAGCAGAGCTCCATTCCAGGATAGGCCTGGCTGTGGCACCCCAGTGAGAGTACATACCTGGGGAAGAGACAGTCCCACACCTCCCCACCAGAGATCTCCTGACCAGAGATCTCCACACGAGAGTGGGAGGGGAGGCCTGCAGTTCCACCCACCTCCCCTGTCCCTCTTCCTTCCTTGCTTCATTCCCTGAGGAAAGGGTGAAAGAGGTGGCTCTGCAGAAGAGATCTGATTAGAGGAACAATTACAGAGCCTGCCACAACAGGGCAGGGTTTTTTTGGGGTTTTTTTGTTTTTTAAATTTTCAATTATTTTTTAAGCTAAAAAAATGTTTTGACTGTTTGCTTGTTATTTCATTTATTTTAAAAATATTTTTCCTGTGTGCATGAATGTGTATGTGAGGGTTTGATCTACATCCCTCCCCCCCCAAATTTTAATCTTTCTTTTTTTTTGTTTTTTTCTTCTTTTATTTGTCATTTTCTGTTTATGTGTGTATGTCAATGATTGAGTGTTCATCTTTCAATTTTGTTGTGGTTGTTGGTTTTTGTTCTTTTGTTCCTCCGGCTCTTTTTTATATTCATTTTTTATAGTTTAAGGGGTATGTCAGTAGATGTGTGAGGGTTCAACCTGAATCTCTTTCCTTTTTTTTCCCTCAGTCTTTCTGTTTTGCTTCTCGATTCACTTTGTGCTAGGTATATGTGTGTGTGTTTAGTTTTCTTGGGGGACATTTTGTTGCTGACTGTTTTGTTTTGCTTTGCTGTTATTCCAGTTTGTTTTGGAGTGTGTGTGCATGGTTTCTGCTTTGCATCATCATAGACTGGTAAGGGGGAGTGGGTCTCAGGGAACACATATCACAATAAATGAACATTTTAATTTGCAAGTAGTATCTAATTCCTAGTGACCCATCCCCCACTTTATTCAAATTGCAAAAACTACAAGAGACAGCAAAGCTTCCCATGCACCATCCTATTTCAAAATAGAACAAATCCAGAGCCCAGATCAGGGGAGAACAGAGGTCTGAGCAAACATCAGAAGGGAAAACCTCTCCCACGGACACAGAATAACAGAACTAAAGAGAAAAACAAGAGATTTATCACAAATAAGTTAAAGCCAAAGGAAGACCTCAGGCAATTTCAGGTATACCAAAGACAAAACTCCTGAAAAATCAGACCTTGGTGTGCAAACAATGGAAGTCACCAAAGACTGGCCCCAGAATACGACAGGGATTAGGGAATGGATGGAAAGAATGAACAGGATTCAGGAAAGACAAGGTGCAACACTGAACGAACTTGTAACAGATTTTGGCAATAAAAATTTTCATCCAGGTAATAAATAACAAGATGACAAGTATGGAAAGCAGAATTAATCTAGCTGAAGAAAGAATCTCAGAACTTGAAGACCAGAACATGGAATTAACCCGATCAATAAACAATATAGAAAGAAGACTCAAAAAGAAAGAACAAAGCCTACAAGAGATGTGCAATTATATTAAGAGGCCAAACCTACACCTGATAGGTATCCCATAAGAAGAAAGGGAAGTGGAGAACAACTTGGAGCAAGTATTCCAGGAAGTAATCCAAGAAAACTTTCCCCATCTCACCAGAGATGTGACCACTCAAGCACAAGAGATACAGAGAACCCCCATAAGACATCCAATGAGAAGATCAACCCCTAGATACATAGTAATTTGCCTACACAAAGTAGGCACAAAAGAAAAAATCCTAAAGGCAGCAAGAGAGAAAGGTCAGACTACCTACTAGGGAAAACCAATCAAAATAGCAGCAGACCTATCAGCAGAAACACTATAGGCAAGAAGGGACTGGAGCCCTATATTCAAAGTTCTCAAAGATAAACAATTTAAACCAAGAATTTCCTATGCAGTCAAGCTCAGCTTCATTACTGAGGGAGAATTAAAATCCTTCCTAGACATCCAATCACTAAGAGATTATGCAGCTTCCAGACCAGCTTTACAGGAGACACTTAAAAAGATATTAAGCAGAACTTCCAGCAAGATGGCGACGGGGAAGCCTGGTCTATGAGACCCTCTGCAAAGGAGAATGCAGAGGGTCTCTGGCTCTCTCACCAGGGGCTGCAGATCAGAACGTCGGCAACCTGCTCTTCACACGGAGCTCAGCTGTCGCCACTGCTGGAGCATCGCAGTGGTCTGGACAGCCGCAGACACAGGAGTCACCGGTGCCACCGCGGACTCCATGGAAGCCATAGCGCATCACGCCACCTGTCCCTCAGGCGATCCATGACTTCAGTACTTGAAGCCCCTGCAGGCAAGATATGCTAGGATCACTGCCACCTCTGTTGCCACCTTGACATCCTGCCGGCTGTGGGTCTCCTCCCGTGTGCCCTGAGGCAGGCTTCCATCACCAGCCTCAGCCTGGCTCCTGTACAGCTCCACACACTCTGGGGCGAGCAGGTGAGATAGCACCACCTACTGGCGATTCAAGGTAACAACACCGAAACTGGAAAAACAAGCTTGAAAAACAGACACAGGCCAGATTTGAGTGGTGAACTGAGGGTGATCTGAACTATCCTACACAGCAGGCCAGGGGCAACTGACCCTAACTGTGAACTAGTTTACCAGCTTGAGAAGACAGCTGGAAATCAGAGCTGGAAGGACACTGGACTTAAACAAAAAGTCTCAGAGAGTGCTCGATTTGTTCTGTTAGTTTAATGACTTGATTCTATTCCCATTGTTTTGTTCCTTTGTTTTTTATCTTCCTTTTCTTCTCTTTTCTCCTCTCTGTAAACCATATCTTTGTATAGAGGAACAGCACACCAATAAGATGGTTGGTTAGCTTGTATGTTAGCATCATTGTATGTTTTAATTTTTTTTGTATGGGAGCTGGTTAGTCTGTAGCCGTGGTCTATTGATTTTATCTGTTTCAGTTTAGATCTCCCTCTCCATTTATTGATACACTCGACTGTTTCCCCCCTTACTCCTCTCTCTCTCCACCCGCCTCGTCCCCCCACTGTCTGCTCCATTCTCTTCCCTCTGCTAACCTCATTTTATTTCAGGGAGTAAACCTATAGCCCCACTGCACAGAAAGATTCCAAGGCAGTGGGAAGTGGGTTCCAGATTACCCACACACTAGTCGGCAGATACATGGATCTGCACATAGATTTTGAATCACAGCCCCCCTCAAGTAAATCTCAAAACTGCAAAAAGGACCACCCCCAACCTACAGT